TAAAAATTGTCCCAGTTATTTTTAATGGGGGGGGGGGGAAGAGCTACAAAATATTCTACTAACATGAGATATTCTAGTTTTACTAAAAACTGATGGATATTTACCTCAGTTCATAGCTCACATATACATCACATACATTATAATATGTATGATGATAAAGCTACTACTAATACTCTGCAGGCACAACCTTGGAACCAATTTTTGCAGTTTCCATTGTTGAATGCTGCACTGATTTGAACAAACCAAAATATTATTTGGCTCTTTCTTTCTTTCTCTCTGTCTTTCTCTCTTTCTCTCTTTCTTTTTCTTTTCCTTTCTTTTTCCTTTTCTTTTCTTCCTTTCTTTTCCTTTCTTTTCCTTTTCTTTCCCTGTGTGGCAGAATGACCAATCTTACTGATCCAGTAACTCAGTTCAGAGCTTTGAGCAGGAACTGGGGAGCAGTTAGTAAAAGGAAAAACAAAACAACCCCCTCAAAAAAAAGCAACCAAAAAAACAAAACCCAACAAAAAATAACAAAAGCACCAACCCAAAATGATATGTTTAGTTCATTTCCTTACCTAAAGGCAAAATAATGTTAGTGAGATTACAAGTAAAAGAAAGTTTTCATTTCAAGAATTCAAGTGTTTTATTACTCTGTGCTCTGAGGAGACCCACCTCACCTTAAATTCATACCCCTGCTGTTTACTAATGTTTAGACAAGAGGATACCTAGAAGTTGTGCTTTTGAAGAGAGCACACACATCAGTGTGTGTGCTTTAACTGTCAAAATATTTAAGATTTTTTTTTTAACATTTGCTGATAAGGATTTTTGGTATAAAAATGTGCTGCTTTTGTTGATTCAAGAGGAAAAATGTTATTGCACTGTTGAATTCTCTTGTCACAATTTATTATTCTGGGTTTTACAGTGTGTTGCATTTATCATTTCATTTTAGCTGCATGGGTGATGGTGTTGCTGACATGATATTTTCCATAGAATAATTAAAGTTGGAAAAGACCTTCAAGATGATCAGGTTCAACCACCAGCCCTACACCCTCCTGGCCTCTAAGCCTTCTCCATTTATTAAAATGCAGACAGTTGCATCCATGAAACAGACTTCAATGTTTGAGATATGTAGCCAAGCCATTAATTCCTCGAGGTTTTATTTTTTTTTTATATATAATGGTTTTATATAGTGGTTTTACCTTCTTACAGATAAGCAGCTTTGTCAGTTTCTCCTGGAAGAAGTTTCCAAGGCATGTAAAGAAGATAATGCACCCCTTCACAGAATAAACACAAATGATATGACATAAAGATAAATATAAGTTCTGTCCATTCAGAGGGAATCATCTTGCACATCTTAAATAGCTTCCAAGATCAGATTATAAGCTCATTAGGAGAGGCTGGCTATTTCAGTGTCCTTATTTCATTCAAGGAGGGAAAAATTTCATGATAAGTTGTTTACCAGGCCTGATTTTGCATCCCAACAAAAATGCTCCTTATTTAGTAGCTGTGGGTATGTTAAAGTTAGTTGATGATTCTGTTTAAAGTTGGTGAGTGTTCTTTATGTGGAGTTACTGTGTGGAAGCTCATATATGCCAAGTATTAATAGCCAAATCCTAGGTATGCTTACAGCAAAATTTCAGAATCAGGATGTTGGAAGGGGAAGTTTTTGGTATACTACCGTCAAGAACCAGAGAGAGATGCCAGCAGGATAACTCTGCTGTAATTTCTGTGGTTTTGTGCTCTGTAGAAATTCTTTGCAGTAGAATGAGATAGAAAATGCAGCTGCAGGGAGCAGCTGGGGAATGTGCTCAGGGTGACATTGCTTCTGCTCACATGGTTCATGGCCCGTGGTAGGGCCCAGCCTCGTGGGACTGGTGTATCTTCCCCTGCCAAGTTTGGCTTTCCTCACTCTGAGGGTGCTGGTGTAAGGCAGGGTGTAAAGGCAGAATTCCTAAGAGCTATAAGCCATCAAACAGATCCTGGTGAAGCTCATAGTGGTGTTAGGAAAGAAAGGAGGCAAAAAGAGATGCTTTTGTTTTCATCTAGAGTTATTGTGTATTTCTGTGGGCACAGGAGTTTGGTTTGCTTTAAAAAAACTCACTAGGTAAGTTTGCAAGAATCTGAACAGTCACAGAAGTCAAAAGTAAGATGTAATTGCTGTGTTCCACAAATCACCAAGTAAATTAGAAAATAAAGGACTCAAGTGAAAGAGCTGCTACAAAAGTGACACACAGCAGGTTTCTGCTTTCCACCCTCCTCTGCCATATCTGGAGCTCTGACAGTAATTGCTGGACCTGGGAAAGAGGACGTAAAGGATAAAGCAGTTTTCTATCACTGAACCAGCGCAGGGGAGACATGCAGAAGAAAGTATGATTTTAAAATACTGGTGTCCTTTTCCTTTGCAAGTTTTCTACCAATTTTTGTTTAAGAAGTGGCTGGTGAGATCCAGCAGAATCCACTCCTGTTGGCTCCTTACAAGTTCTTTGTTAATATGTGAATTAGTAAATTACTAGTAAGTCACATACAAACTAGGAAAGTTAGACTAAACTAAAAATATTTTCCTCTGTGCATTTTTTTTTTTTTTGCCAGATAATTATCTAGTGAGGCAGAAGATGCAGCAGCTGAATAGTTGATTTTATTTGTTTATAATGTAAAATCTTACATGTTCATGTATCTTCTCTTGTGCATTATCCAGACAGTTTTTATGCACTTGTGCCCCCAAGCTCCCTGTGCCCTCCTGCACACTCATTTCTTGCTGCTTGTTTTCCTGCCTGATGGTGGCTTTGGTGTTGCACTCTTCCTCTCTATTTGTCTGGCCCAACCTCTAGTGGTGGTGCCTTACTTTTTAGCAGGGTCTTCAGCTGTAGTTGCAAAGAAAACCACAAATCATCAGAGATTATGATTGTTTTGTCTGCCACTTTGAACACAAGTATTGTGATCTACAAGCTGCAAGAAAAATCTTTCTGTTTATGACTGCACATAAAAATATATTTCTTAGAAAAAAGATAAAGTGGCTGCTTAAATTGTCCTGGAAATACAGGAGAAATGTTACATCAGGAAACTGAAAACTCTGCTAGAAAAAGGTGTGTTTGTGCAGGGTGAATAAGGCTCTAAAACAACAATATGTATGTCAAACAGATTTTAACAATGCCACACAAATATCCATTTCCTACTGTAAGAATAGGGAAACTAGAATGTTAAAGTGCAGCAAGGTTTGCCCTCATGGACCCTTGTTCTCTCCTAGGATCTCTCTAAAGTCAGTATTTAATTTAACTTTCACAGTTCCTATTTTCCCTGTTCTGTTTTTTCTGTGTTTCTCACTAACAGGATTCTGTAAAAGAATATAGGCTTCTATGTGAAGGTCTGCTTGTCGTCAATACACTTTTAATAGCATAAATAGTTTGTCACTTTTATAATTTAAAACATTAGTCATCAACAATTCCAACTGCTTCATTATTATAAATGCCTACATCTAGAAGTAGAAGTAATAAAACACGGAAGCTCATGAGTTGTGAAGCTCATAGAAACTCTCAAGGAAACAAAATTAAATATCCTTCTTAAGCACCAGTTCCTTTACTTGTGGGGAGCAAATATAATACTGTGGTTTGATACCTTCCTGCTTCTCCCCTCTTCTAGGACACTCCATGGAAATGATATTTCCAGTGTTCCTGAAGGTTCTTTCAATGACCTGGTATCCCTGTCCCATCTGTAAGTACTTCTGTCTGGGTTCATCTCTTTGATTAATGGTTTCAAATTTATGAAATAGTACATATTATTACAAATTTAAGATTGTCTGGCTCTTCTGGCTTTCCTGCTCACTGTCCATATTCTGCTTTGGATATTCATAGTGGATCTGTTCAAAGCAAATAAAAAAATACTAGAACCTGTTGTTATTAGTTACCAAAATATTTTCCTAAGGAAAACCAAATGAGCAAATGTGACAGTTTCCTTTTCTGTGCACTTGGTGTTTAAGACTTTCTTTCAACATTGTCTATATGAAATGCAGAGTGTGTTATGGTTTGAGAGTGAGGCAGGAAACCTCCCACAAAGAGCAAATATTAAGCAAATGTGAATTCTTTGCTTAATAAGTATCATATGTTATACATGCTGAAATGTTGTCACTATATAAACTTGTTAACGAATCACTACTTCAGACATATCTATTTAATCATACAGAATTTGGTCATTTCACAGCATTAATACTTCATTCCATAATTTGCAAAAATTATTAGATGTTTCAGGTATTTCAGGATATTGCTATGGTATTGGTGGAGGTTCAGGATATATTTAAAGGCGGGTCAGTTGATGCAAGATCTGTACACACAAGGAGCTACTTTTGTTACAAAATGAACTGGAAGTTTGATGGTGCCAAAAGAGTGATTAGAGGATGTTTTTTCACTGAGATAATGTGTGATACTTGACATTATTAAAGAATAGATGTAAAGTAACTTTGTGTGGCAAATTTCTTAATGACTGTCCTCAAGTAATCAGGGGGTTGGGTGTCTGGGTCATCTTGTGAAGTTTCACAAGTTGATACAGATTTTTATTATTTATTTCTGTGTTAGTTTCTCTCTGGACAATGAAAAATAAAGATATTTCAGATTGGTAGGGAGAGAAATAATGGGAGCAACTTAGGCAATTTCAGCTTCAGATGAGAAATAACCTTCTGTGTTTCAAGCTTAAACCTTGGTATCTAAGTCAGAGAAAATACTCGTTTTGCACAACATTTATTTCTTCATCATGTTCTCAGTACAGTTGGGTCATCTTGTGCATTGTTTTGGAATTAAAGTCCAACTGACCTGAACCCCTGTACCTCCTTTTGGGACCACAGTGACACCATCCATACTGGGAATTTGGCTTCTGAGGGTATTTTTAGAACTTAAGAGATAAACATATCATGTCCCAGTTGTTTGGATTTTCCTTAGAGTTTAGTTTAAATGAAGTGCAGACACCATTTTCCTGGGTAAACTGTTCATCTTTGAAAGTGATAAAACCCTCTTTGGCCAGGGCGATCACTGCAGTCTATCTGTTTAGATATATGTGCTGCCAGAAATGTAAAATACACAAAGCTCAAATGAACAGTAATAAATACGATCCATAAAATAAAAAAGACCTGTCTGGGGTGTAATTTGCATGGATGAACAATTGAATTTTACAATCCAATTGTGCTCTCCAGTTTCTTAAAGAGGATTCTGAAACTTTTAGCAACCACGATGGTTTTGCTCTTCACATGTCAGAAAAAGCTGTGCTTATTCAAGGTCATACAGCATTGAAAAGAAATTCATTTTGAGCTTTTCCTGATACCTCCATCTTCAAGAAGAAAGCATGTGCTTGGAATAATTTTGAAAATGTTACAAGGGGTTGCCACTCATCAAACTCATAATGCATGAGAGAACAAAGTTTTATGTTAAATTTCAAGCTGTCCAGCTAAACAGGACAGGGATTATGGCAGGGGAGAGCTGACTACCCAGGTGTTGAGCAGGATGATCAGCATCAGTAGAGTGTGGGTGAAGAGGAAGGGTATCAAAGTAACCTTCAGGATTGCAAAGAAATTTTTGTGAAGCATAGACAAGACTATTGATTGGAGTCAGAGTCTTGTGTAATAGCTTTAAATTGGTCTTTAACTGGAAGAACAAAGCTGAGATCTAGATACTTCAATCATTTTTTCCATAGGTGTTTAAAACCAGAAAAAAAAAATCACCAGATTTCCTTTACATTGCAAAAATCAATGATTGTAAAGTAACTATAACTATACTACTACACTATAACTGTGTAGCTGATATGCCTCACTAAAGGCATAGGAAGGATTGCACATGGTATAAACACACTGCTTTTGTTTACTATTTATTACTTTATTTACTTGAATCATCTAATTGGCTTTTTAAGCCATAACTCTACTAACTTTTTCAGCCCCAGATGATGATAAAAATGTTACAGTACTTCTGAAGGTTCAGATATATTAATACCTAAAAAGGATCCACAATTTGTTGGGGTAGAGCTGAGACCTTCTTAGGTAGGTCAGTTCCTGCATTTGCTGCCCTCACCACTAATTGCTACACACAACTCTGTGACTGATGCAGTTTCCCAAATACTGCCCATGCATAAGCTGATCCCTCCAGGGGCTCCACAAAGAAGCCTTTGGTCCTGGGTGCTGTGTTGAGAGATGCTTCTGACAGACATCTTCTGAATGAACAGCTCAGATTCCTAATCTCGTTAAACCATATCATCTTTACACAGATTTATGTTAATTATAGAGGTAATTATATAAAAATATGCAGTCCTCACCTCTGTTTCTCCACATTATCATGGCTAGAGTTACTTTGACTTTAAGTTACCTAAAAAAAAAAATGCCTGAACAGAAATATCTGCACAGCATTTTGAAAACTCTGCTGGTGGTTTTTCATTACAGCACAAGATATTTTTACCTTTTGGAAATCTTTTGCTGTAATGGAAAAAGAAATGGAGAGAGCATGTTAGAATTCATGAATGAAAATACAAGACTTCACTATAGTTCCTAGAAATGAAGAAAAAAATCCCAAAGACAAAACCACAAACCAAAGAACAGAAAGATCCATGTGATTTCTGCAGTTGTACAATAGTGCTATTGGTAATCAATTCTAGTGTCTGTAGAGCAGCTCTATTTCTAATGTAGTTTGTAAAGACTAATTAACACAGTAACCAGCTTTCCCCTGTCCTCCCACTCCCATTTTATGTATGACAGTTGCTCAACACTAAAGTTCATTTCTCAGTCCAAGTTTCACTGCTGCATTTTGTTTGACTTTGGACAAGTGAGCCAGTTGATCACAGTCACGGGGTCAAAAAGTCAACCCAGTAGGTTTTTTTCCACTGAAAGCAATGGATTTACAGAAGGAGTGGGTGGATATTTTTTAATACTGGGCTGCAGTATATATTTAATTTTGATGAATGAGCCCTAGACAGGGTTTGAACCTATGAACCTTCATTATGAATCTGTCTAGGGCACAGTGGGTTCATTAGTCACTCCAATAGAAATGTATCAACAAATTTACTGAGGTTTCTATCTTAATATCCTGTCTGATATGTTTTTATTTGAAAGAAGCTAGAGTTTAAAATACCACCTTAAAAATAGTTTAAAACATATGCAGAAATAGTGAAGTCTAAAACGCTGTGCGAATTACTAGTTTCTTTACTATCTCTTCCCCCTCCTAGTCTTTATTTAGTTAATTTTCTTCCCATGGCAATCCAGGTGTTTTACAGCCAAAGCCTTACATTTGCTGTCAGGAAAATAAATTCAGATGTCCAACATGTGTTTCCTCACACTTTCAAAAATTAATTGTTTTTAAACAGACTTTTCTGTAGTCTGGGCTTTACTTGTAATTGACTGATTGCCTGGAAAGACAGTTTCTTTAAGCAAAAATACACCACAGTATAAATGAGTCAAGGCAGTACCTAGCTTTAAGGTGAAGAGGTTTGTTTTCTTTTGGATAGATCTCCATGAATAAAGAAAAAGTTCAGTGAATTATAATTACATTGTGTGAATGCATCTAATTCAACCGTATGACCTAACTCGAGTGATAGGTTAACCAGCAAATGTGTTTTCAGAGCCATAAACAAACTTAGCAGACACCAAGTTGCAGTTTTGAAAACAAGGATATGTTTCATAGAGTGAGAAGACATTAACATGAATCCTCAGATACAAACTGAATTACAAAATTAGTGGTTACAATATGCTCATGAGCCTGAAGACCTAAACAAAAGAAACCAGTGTGATAAATTTGATGAAATTTGTCTGGACACATAGATCAAGCACAGCTGTTTGAAAAAGTGATTTATTGTTTGAAAAAGTGATTTTCAGGTATTTATGTAACCTCCCTACCTAATGGTGGGAAGAAAGAAAAGAGTGGGAATACTGGAAGAGATAGATCTCAAAGTCTTCCTGAATGTTCAGAAGATCTCACCCACATTTTGAAGGAAAGCATTCCTGTAAAAGTGTAGGAGAAAACGTGCCCAAGTGGACTGAGGGATGTTATCTATGTTTGCAAGCCAAAATAACTGCTGTTAATTGTTTTACACCCCTAGGGCTCTAGGTACCAACCCTCTGCACTGTGACTGCAACCTCCGCTGGCTCTCTGAGTGGGTGAAGGCAGGCTACAAAGAGCCCGGGATAGCGCGCTGCAGCGGGCCCGACGCCATGCAGGACAGGCTGCTGCTCACAACACCCACTCACCACTTCCAGTGCAAAGGTAGGAGGCTCTCTGCTCTGCCCTCTTGTTTTTCCTCATATGCAGCGCTGTATTTTTGATACTGCTGGAAGCTGTTTGGTTTTAAAGTGAGTGTTTTGGGGGAGCAGGGTTTGGCTTTCATTTTCCAAACCCTCACGTTCCATTCAGGTTGCATTTCCAAGTCTTCTTCCCCAGAGCACAAGTAACTGCACCATGGGAAGGAACAGCAGCAAACCTCAGAGGAGGCAGTGTTCCTGTTGCTCACACCAGATGATTTAATGGGAAGTTAGCATGTAGGGTGTTGTTAGAACTTAATCAAGCAAATAAGTTGGTATTGGCCTTCTAGCTACCCCAGAAAACTTTGATAAAATTGGGGTTATTTTAAAATTATAGAGCACTCCAGTTATTATGGACACTTATTTGGAAACTGAGAAACTGAGAATTCTTCTGGAAAGCATATATTTGCCAAAACTCCATTTTCATTTGAAGATATGAAAACTGTCCTCATCAGCTCTGTCTCAGAAACTGTACATTCTAGAAGGTGTTTTGTGTCTGAATATGTTCCTTCAGAAGAGAGTTGAGGTGCAGCCATTAACACTTAGGGTTACTCCATGGATGCAACATTCTGCATTAGAGAGCAATCAGACAGAGGGTAAGGAGCACAGTTTTTTTGTGGATAAAGTAGTTTATTCCTGAATGTAGCTTAGGATCTACCTGTATTGTCTAATTGAATATGAGCCAGCAGTGTGCCCAGGTGGGCAAGAAATCCCATGGCATCCTGGCTTGAATTAGAAATAGTGTGACCAGCAGAAGTAGAGAGATGATTGTCCCCCTTTACTCAGCACTGGTGAGGCCACACCTGGAGTGTTGTGTCCAGTTTTGGGCACCTCAATTCAAGAGAGATCGAGGTGCTGGAGTGAGGACAGAGGAGGGCAACGAAGCTGGTAAGGGGCCTGGAGAATGAATCTTATTAAGAACACTGGGAATGTTTAGTTTGAGGAAGGAGGCTGAGGGGAGACCTCATCAGTCTCTACAACTACCTGAAAAGTCATTGTAGAGAGGTTGGTGCTGGTCTCTTCTCACAGGTAATTAGTGACAGAACAAGAGGGAAGGGCTTCAAGCTGCAACAGGGGAGGTTTAGACTGGACATTAGGAAATTTTTTTTCACAGAAAGAGTGGTCAGACACTGGAACAGGCTGCCCAGAGAGGTGGTGGAGTCACCATCCCTGGATGTGTTTAAGGGTCATTTGGATGTGGTGTTGGTGGAGATGGTGTAGGGGAGAACTTTGTACATAGGGATGATGATTGGACTTGGTGATCCCAAGAGGCTTTTCCGACCTGAGTAGTTCTATGATTCTATGTTTCTATGTATGTTCTTAATGCTAAAAAAGTTCTGGAGGTCTGCTTAGGTTACCAGCATATACAAGAATATGGAGTTATATTTCTAGTGGAAAAGATTGGCTCAGTAGCCTTTCTTAGAAATGGAAATGAGAGCATAAAACTGGGGTTTATGTCTCTCAGAGTGCCAGGCACATTTACAGCACTGCCTGGCAGCAGGATTTTATAGAGGCTGAGATTAAACTGCTGAACAAACAAATGATGGTTTGGAAGTGAGTTTAGAACACAGGTTCTCAAGCCTGAGCTGAATTTTATGTCCTTTCAATATTTAATAAGTGTAACCTTATAATTTAATTACTTTGAAATGTCAGTCTCAAAACTATCAAAACTCTTTAATTATCAGAACTACAGACTTTATTGTAGTCTCTTAAAAGTGAAGTACAAACATGCCATAAATACTAAAAATATCAAATAATCTACTTGTTCACAAAAAGTGAAACAAAGGAAATTATTGTATTTACTTATTAATGAAAATTAATCCAGAAAGAAAAGCTAGATGACTTCTTCATTCTGAAACTGATAAATCAAGTTATGCTCACTTTCTCTCAAAACTAAGCAGCTTTTAGGCAAGAGATCAGTAAACCTGTGATCTAGACTATTATAACAGCTGTATGTTTTTAGTGTAAATATTAGTTTGGTTCTCTAGTACCCCAACTGTCTCCATGGCTTGCTTTTTCTGAATAGAAAAGGAGAACAAGTGCTGATTCAGAGGTGGTCTTTGGACAAGCAGAAGCTGTTGACAGCCTGGACAAGTGGTGCTATACTCGAAGAAGCCCCAGGCCCTGGCATAATTCCCCTTTTCTCATCACAATAGATATCTTTTGAAAAACAATGCTTGGTTTTCTAACTGAACCCATATACTCTATGCATGTTTAAGATCTCATGCCCTGTGCTCCCTTGTCTGGACATCAGTGATGCTCCTTTTTGGGAAAGCACTAGGATTTGTTCCAATGTCATGTCCCGGTTTACCCCCAGGCTGGAGGGATTTGAATGGCCTGTGTCAGGTCATGGTGCAGCCTCCAGTTGTCCTACAGCTGCATTGCCCTCTGGTCACTGAGCTGAAGCTGACATGTGCCTGTCAGCAGAACAAGACTGCCTGTGATGTGACACAGTATCCAAGGAGGTGTCTGTCCCTCTATCTGTGCAGGCTCAGTCCTCACTCGTGCACTGTGTGGAGCCCAGAGTGGGCTGAGCCCTGTCCCCTCAGGAGCCTGAGTCATTGCTGCAGAAGTCAGCCCGTGCTGAACTTGGTACCTGGAGATGCTTGCAGAAAGGTAGTGCATAGATGTCCTCTGTGACCTCCAATTACTTTTACAAATAGTTAGAGTTTAACTTCTTCTTGTTAAAATTATGGGTTTAGCCTGTGACTGAGCAGAAGGTTGTCTCTTAGCAGAGCCAAGAAAAGGAAAGTGTGTAATGTGCAAGTCATGCAAACTCAGCTCTGCTTTTTATTAAATTGCCCTCCTAGTTATGCAGTAGGGAAAAGGAATGTGCTGGGCTGAGGGCATTTTGCTGTATGGATTTATAAATCAAATCCACAAGAGTAAACTAATGAACTACTTAACTGCCAGAAACTAGCACTGTTCTTATTAGCTCCTACATTGATTAGCTTTGATCTATGTCAGAGGAATAAATGGAAAATGTGCTTGTGAGTATTATGAAATAAATAAATAATAGAGCAAAATTCTGGCTTAGTGACCTCTAAATCTAGAAGAGCAGCAGTGCTGGCTGTTTCTTGAGCTCTCCAAGGAGCTTACTTCCTGTATTATTCATATATTCTACCTTCAAGACAAAAAGTAGCTCAGATATGTAATGTCCCCCCATCAATGCCTGAAATTCAGATGTTATTTCCTTTTGCTGTCCTAACTCCAAGTCAAAAACATATGACACTTGGTTAGAAATAAATGCAATGGTAGAAAAGGATGGCAAGAGTCTTTTCTTTCATGTTTTAATTTGTTGCTTCTTGTGTATTTTTTCCTCATTACTGCATGTTGCTTTCTGCAGTCAGTGGCCCTGGTGACACCACCATGAGTCTAGGATGTAGCCTTTACGTTGCAGGTGCTTTCCAAATGTAGCTCCTTGGTACCCATTTCTGTCATGTTCTTACCCCCTGTTGGTGCTGTGCAGGTGTTCAAAGTTAATAAAGAAGGTTTATATCTCATACAGAATGGTACAAAACAAATCCTTGATTGGAAGGGATTTTTTCATCCCTAGTTTTGGTACCATTCTAGAGCTCCACTTTCTCTCTAACGTCAAGTATAAGCTTCTTTTCTTCACTTCCAGGATGTTTCACAATTTTCTCACTCTTACCATTTATCATGCAATAACAGAAGCTCAGTGCCCACTCCTGATTAACAAAGCACCAATTATATGTTACTTTAAAATGTACTTTCTTAAAAAATGAAATACAATTATTTTAGGGTCTTTACTGCCTGATATAATTTGAGCCCTTTAAAAGTATTAGAGTTTAATTTGTACATATGAAAGCTGTTAATTCATTGCTATTTGAAATTTACCCATTTTAAAATCACCATTTCTTTAACTGTAAATGTAACTGTCTAAATTAGCTTTCTGTAAAATCTCAACAATAAAACACTGATTGACTTGGTACCCTAAATATAGTTACTATTGTTTTGGTTTGTGCTTTTCTACCTGCTCACCCACAACCATCACTACTTCTCTAGAAGAGTCATGTTAAAAAAATGTGGTTTATTGGTTTAAATATGGCCATGTGTATTTTCCTGCATACATTTACATTTTTGCATATTTGTTTCTGATGTATTTTGCCAAGGCAGCGGAATGTTGATAATCATTCTTCTGGGCAGAACAGGAAGAAAATAAGTTTTGAACTCTGTTAAAATTAAGGATGGTAGAACACTCTGCACAGAAATATTCCCATAAGCCTCTAACTAATCTTTCTTATACTTTTTTTTTTTTTTTTTTTTGCTGTTGCATCTGCAGTTTCATTCTTGTTACCAGCCACAGAACTGCCATGTTACAGTTCCCTAGGGGTCACTATTGCAGAATTTCCAGCACTGAGGAAGGAAAAACTGCTGACAACCAAATATGTACGAGCCCACTTTCTGGAAATTCCCAACGTGTTTTTTCAGAGCTGTTGTTTGCATGTCCAGGAGAACATATGCATCATTGAGACTTGCCTAGCACTTGATTTAAGTACTTCAAACTCTGCTTCCTGGGAATCCCAGGCTGTTGTGTCAAGTTGCACTCAGGGCTTGTGCGTTTGTGCCAGCACAGGATGAAAGCTGCATTAGGAAAACGTGTGTGAACAGGGGAAGTCTCACCCTGGTACCTCAGCCGTCTGCCAATACACTCTGCTTTTCCTTTCCAGAGCCAGTGGATATCACTGTTGTGTCCAAGTGCAACCCCTGCCTCTCCAGTCCCTGCAAGAACAATGGGACGTGCAGCAATGATCCAATGGAGTTTTATCAATGCACTTGTCCTTTTGGCTTCAAGGTATGTCTACAAATGAACTACATGCAAAACAACAGTGTTCCACATTCCTTCTGTGTTCTTAATTGTTGTACCATGAGAGGTCAATTTTGCAGGTGACTGAGCTCAAAAGTTCCCTTACTCAAGCAGACTGTGTGTGAGCTTTCAGCTGCCCCCCACTACAAATTTTCTCCTGTGTGACAAGAAAGGCATTTCTTTCTCCCTCTGCTGTGACTATACAGACCACCCTGGGAAACTTGCTCTTGTTGACCCTGCTTTGAGTAGGGTAGTTGAAGTAGATGATCTCCAGATCATCTAGCCTTGGGCATTCTCTGATTTTGCAATGCAGAAATCCACATGAAATGGAAAGTTGATTTCATCTTCCTTTTAATTTATTTTCTTTTGCCAGCAACAAGTTAAGTATTTCATAGGCTGCCAGGCCAAAGAGGAGGCATTTCAGATGAGAATTAAGAGCTGGTTTAGTCCATGTTAGCAGAACATTGATACATTCTAGTTTACATCTATGTTACACAGACTGGTTAGCAGAAAGATGATTAACTGATCAGACACAACCACTAGCTCAGCTGTCTCTGACTTCTGAGCACTAGTGTTCATAGAGTGATCTGCAAGCCTGCAGTCTGGTTGATGCCAAGCACTGTGAACATGCAGTACCAGCTTCTTGAGAACACATTTAAAAATCTGAAAGTCTTGTCATTGAGTAATGCAGTTTGTTCAGGAGTGACACGTAACTCCTGTTCTTAGCGCTGCAGCATGATAGCTTAAGGCTACCAGAACTTTGTTTCAGAGTTGATATAACTGGAAACCTAGCTCAGTAGTCAGTAGTTGAAGGATTAAGTATAAATGAGGCATATGATCTGTTCACAGCCTGGGGAGAATTGGATGTTATGGCCAAAGAAGTAGGTTGCATCCTGCAGACTGTGATTTTATTTGCCTCATTGATACTTCTAACAGAGTCTTGGTCACTTGAAGCAGTTGCTCATAAAACAAAAAGTAATCATAACTAAGGAGGAAAAAAAGAAGAAAGGCAAAACCAGACATATGTGTGGGAAGTAAGCTCAAGTATCCATGTCTTACATTCCTGGTAAGATTTAGGAACTAGTTGCTTCTGATTATATCACCATTTCCCTTCTCTGTTATATTCCAAATGGTAACACAGACTAATTGTGGAAGATCTCTGAAATGTTGGAAAATGGAAGATGTAGAGCTCATTTCTTCTGTTTCACCTCAGTGCCCCATACATAGTACTCAAGAATAGCAACAATTCTCCTAAGTAATTGAAAAAGTCATTGAAAATTTCCTTGCATTAAAAAACCTTCTACCCATTGGCATTTCAATGAGCAGCTTTTCTAGGACCTTAGGAAGAACACATTTATGTCTGCAGTGAGGGAGATTGTGGTGGTTTATCTCCTCAGGCTAACAGAAGAATGGTAATTTTAATGTGGTGTTTAATGTAAACTGGGTTGAATTCTTAGAATGGGACTAGGTGACTGTTAGGAGAACTTGAAAAGTAAATGCTTTCAAAACTAGCAGGAAAATACATGAATTTTTGTGTATCTCTTACTCTATAGGGCAAGTATCGTGGGACAGATATTCAGGTTATTCAAAGTAGAAATTTGTTGGTTATGAGTATATATATATATTGCCCATAGGTTTGTTCTGTTTTACAGTATTTCTGTATTAGCAAATGCACTAGTATAGATGCATCTATAATGCAAGAAGACATGTTTACAAAGGGAGGATTTATTAACAAGTATAATCACTTTACTTAGAAAGCTTTTGATAAACTCTTTAAGTGACTCAGTTGAAATATCTCATGGAGCATCCAGTTTTTCTCCCCTCTCACACGCTTTGCCAGGTAACACTCAGTGTTTGAAGGCAAAAGATAAAACCACTTGTGAGCTGGTAAGCACCAAGCTGTCATCCAAGCAGGGCCAGGCCTGGCACTTAGTGCAGAGTTTAAAAATACTGACTGGATCACAGTGCAGGGAGAATTGGTGGAAATTTAATAAGCAAAAAGAACTGTGTGTTTTTACCACAGGTTTTTGAATAAAAATGAAATATGACAGGTCCAAATGCAAACCATATGAAAGGAGCACTCTATCTACCACACAGTTCTCCACCAGAGATTCATGCTAATTCAATAACAATACCTTGCTTCCTTCTCACCAGCCAACACCAAACAGCTCTATCCATCTGGAAGTTATTTCCTAGACCTTGATAAATTGCCCTAAATCTGCCCTCTCAGCATTTGTTTTTTCTTGTTTGATGTAGATTTTGAAAAAATTTCTGTGTGGAAGAGTGCATCAATGAAGTGGAAAACCCACCCTTTTTTCTTCATTCAAATGACCTGACAGCTTTATCATGTTCCCTGGACAGGGACAGACAGTTACAGATCACTTTTTGGGGTTCCTATCCTCATGCCAGGCTTCAGAAAACAGTAGCCTGACTAGCAGAATGCCACCTAAGTTACCAGTTGCCAAACTGGTGCCTGATGGAATCAGGAACTTCCTGCCAGTTAACCGTAGTTGCAAAAACCTATAGTCTTATTTTTCACTATCACGTTGGTGATGACTCAATCTCTTATTTTTCATGATCACAACAATGTTTTTGCTATTGAATGTATACCTTATGGGGCTTTTAGAAACGTGTAGTGCTGCCAATAATGGGTTTGAGTAAACTCAAAAGTGAGGTAACTCATGGCCCACCTGAGCTGAGAGAGCAGCAGGCCAAGCAGTTGTGTTTGATGAGGACAGAAATACAGATTGCTCACTTGGGAAAGGCGAAGGCTGTGTGCTGATGGCTACCTTTGCTGCTGCCTTTTCTTTAAAATGGGTGATGAATGTGTTTGCTGTAGATAAGCCATGGCTGTAACAGTGCTTTTCTGGTGGTTCACTGGAGACAAAGCCCCAGAGCCAGTGGAGATGGTGTGTGAGTGCCACCTATGGCAGCTGTCAGGCTGCACAGGCTTGTGCTCCAGGGTGCCACCAGTTCTGGCAGAAAATGTCTCTTAATGTGATTAAACTTGTGTTTTCATATTAAACACAGACATAGGTGTAATTATCCAGCTTTTTTCCTTCTCTTCTCTGTAGCATTGTTTGAAAGATTATTTGAATCACATGTGTGGTTTAGAAAGTGAAGTGTGAATGCAAGTAGAGAAATGAAGCTTTCTGCTGCAGTAAGTGCTGCTGGACACCTGCAGTGCAGGTGTGTGAGTGCAGCTGGTGGCTGGGACATAGGGAACAGCACTGTGCTGCTTCAGTGTCCTGCAGAGTGTGGGGCTTTCATGTGTCCCCATTGATTCTGTAGGATCGAGTCTATGGATGTTAGAATTCAAGACAATAAACAAACTTGCAACCAACAAACCATTGAGAAAGGATTTCTACCATTCATTGAATGGTTGTAGAAAAAAATTAAGGTGAGTGAAACACACTCAGCATGTCTTGCCATTGCTGTACTCTGAAAATGCCCTTTTGGGGTTTTTTTTGCTTTTTTATGTCTTTCATACTTTTTTTTAATTTTCCTTAAAACTGAGGTAACAAACAATTAAGGAGAATTATTTTCTTTCTTCCAAATAGATTTATTTGCAGAACTGGGGAAAGAGGGTTTAAAATACATCTGTGTTTTATCTGAAAGAGTATTGCCAGGCTGGAATATAAAATGCAGTACTTGCCAGGCACTGCCACAGACTCTAATTGCTCAGATAAATGGGAAGCTGAGTTGTTGGGATGCAAGATGTTTGTCAGCTCTGGGTTCTGCTATTACCAAAAGCAGTCTGACATGGAAAATGAAGATAGGTGAAATCAGTGTAGCACATACCCCACACTTTAAGCCAGAGATGCTGATGCATGTTTGTAGTGTAGTTGTTTTGTATATTTTATCCAAATCTGTTCACCTTCCTGTTCACTTCAGCCACTGTCCTGACTTTTCCAGCAGCCCTGCAGTATCTTGATGGTTCAAGCAACTTCACCAGTCATCCAGAATGACAGATACAGTTGGAAAAATCCTGGGTAAAGCTCATGGGTTTTGGAGAGCCAGTATTCTTTGCAGCCAGACTCTTGTGGTAGGAGGCATTATAGTGAAGCCAGAATGATACTTAGTGAGGAAGCTGGCTCCAAAGTTCTGCTAGGATTTTGGTTCCTTCTCTTCCCTGCCCCCTGTGCCAGGATCTCATCCCTGGAACCAGGGTTAAAAATTGAGAATCTCAGGGCAGAGCATTTGTGGGATATGCAGGATTTGTTCCTATCTCATGTTGTACATGGATATAACTAATGTACCACTTGAGTGGATAGATGTGGCTGAGCAGAAGCTGTGACTGCTCAGCACAGGGCTAAAACACAGGGTATGTCAGTACAGACCCCGTGCCATTAGCAGGGACTTCCTGCTGCACTGACTGTCTCTCATGAAGGGTGCTTAGGGCTTTGCACTGTCTAGGGGCAGGGGCACCTCGAGTTTGCTGTTTGCTCTTCTGCAGCCTGACGTGAAGAATCTGTCAAGAGTCCTAGAAAATGGCTGTTTGAGGCGTATTCAGCACAGAACTGACCTTAAAACATGGGTATGGTAGTGTTTGCTCATGTACAGATATTCTGGCCAGCTCTTACAGCTCAAAGTAGAGACAGTGCAAGTTTATTCCAATGGGCCAGTGCCTCAGTTATGCTGGTTGGGTGGGGTTGTATGATTGTAACCCAGTGCAGTTTGGTGCTGATGCATGCCAGCTGTGTGAGAGTCTGTGCCTAGTTTGTAGGCTAATGCTGTTTTGAAATGTATCTCCGTGCTTTTGTTTCTTTGGATCTATTAACATATGCATATTAAGTCCCCATATACATCATTCAGTACACAAATAAATCCCTGAGTTGGAATTGCCAAAGGAGGAGAAATTGGAAGGAACTCTGAAACCAGCCTGCCCTCAATCCACGTGAGCCGGGAGAGCAAATGTTCCTGCCTTCATGTGTTACTCTGCCTTGGCCTCTTTCCTCACCCAGTGTCAGGGGGACAGGCAGAGGAAT